ACGGCTGAAAGGGCGAGCATGTTTGGTGTGACGCGGATTCGAACCCGCGACCCTCAGATTGCGAGTCGATTGCCTTAACCACCTGGCCATGCCGGGCCCCATCAATAATGAAAGCAGACTCCTAAAGTCCAATATATTCACATTTTTCTACTTTTTGATGTTTACAAATCACTGAATTTCCATCCGCTAATGTATATATCCTCAGTATCTTTAATACTTATGTAGATGAAAATGTAAACTGTAAAACATAATTATATAAAATAATTTCAAATATACCCTTTGTAGTTAAAGAAAAATTCCTGCTATACTGTTAATCATTCATTGTTCCATGTTTTGACTTAGTTAGATCGCTTGTTTAATTCTGTTTACTAGACTAATATCTCAGTCTCCACTACCCTTTACTATACTAATATCTCAATATCCACTACCCTTTACTAAACTAATATCTCAGTCTCCACTACCCTTTACTAGACTAATATCTCAGTCTCCACTACCCTTTACTAGACTAATATCTCAGTCTCCACTACCCTTTACTAGACTAATATCTCAATGTGGATATTGAGATATTAGTCTAGTAAAGGGTAGTGGATTACCCTTTACTAGACTAATATCTCGGTCTCCACTACCCTTTACTAGACTAATATCTCAATATCCACTACCCTTTACTAGACTAATATCTCAATAACCATTACCCTTTACTAGACTAATATCTCAATATCCACTACCCTTTACTAGACTAATATCTCAATATCCACTACCCTTTACTTGACTAATATCTCAATAACCATTACCCTTTACTAGACTAATATCTCAATATCCACTACCCTTTACTAGACTAATATCTCAATATCCACTACCCTTTACCTGACTAATATCTCAATATCCATTACCCTTTATTCAACGAATATCTCAAAATCAAATATTCTTTGCTAAACTAATATCGCAGTATCAAATAGTCTTTTCTAAACAAATATTACAATATGAAAATTCTCCAAGTAATCAAGAGTTTTATTATAATATTTCGTCATACCTTCAACTTCACAAGCTATGTGTTTTTTAATTAAAATTCGACTGATGACCAAGTTGTTAAAATTGTGTATGACGTTGAACTCAGTAAAAATATTTTTATTATTTTATTCTGAATTATTAAATTTTCGTTTGTAGTCAGTTAAGTTTCTGAAAATTACCAGATACAAGTAACGGGAGTTACTATAGTTTTTTCTGAATATGTCGTGTATAGATTATAGAGGATTTAAGTGATATCAAAATTATTTCTTGCCCTCTTAGTTTATGCAAGAAAGTAATAATTTTAGAGGTGTGATAAAACACTGGAAAATACGATTTGCACTGACAAGATATATTCGATTGTATTTCCTAATGTGTCAAATTATCGTTATTTTATCCTGCTTGATGACGATGACCTAAGTAGAAGGTTGAAACCATATTTATATATACGTGTGGATTTCTCTGTAATAAACATTTCACAAATTGTCATCAACGTATTACAATAATTCTTTGTTTTTCTTATAATATCTTATTATTGTTATATATTTTGTCTTGAAATGGTGCTTTAATCATAGAACTGGCATAAAGAAACGCCAATATAATAAAACATTTATACATGATTAATTGATAACTTTTTTTCTTCTTATTTCTTACTGTCTAACTTATAATGTTTCGTTGAAGTTGTTACCTTATGAAAAACTATCGATATCTTTACTTTTAGTAAGTGCCATCTGTTGGATGTATAGATAACTACTAAAACGTAGATTTTTTGAATTGTTTCAAATTCTAATCGATAATCCCTGTACTAGCTTGAAACCGACTGAACAGAACAAAATAACTATATGCAGGGAGGGTCGGGTGGGTGATTTTGCAAAAATTATCGACACAAGTGTATTTTGAAGAATGTAGCTTAATTTTAATTCACTTTCATTTATACGTCTTATGCTTTTCAAAATAAATCAATATACAATATATATATATATATATATATTGAAGGTTTTGGTCTGTGAGCTAGCTCAGCACAATACCTTACCAATATTTTATATATTTCTACCATTAAGATGAACTTGATGATACAAATGCCGTATATACATATAAAAAAGTAAGTCTGTGAATTGCTGAAACAAGCCAGGTATGTTGTACTTTTTGCATTTATAAGAAGTCTGTGCAGCTGCTACCATGGATCGCGTGTCCTACACATGTGTTTAAAATAGTATATATGGTCACACGTGATTTGTTGCCCTAAAATTTATTTGCTCGTGTATATTATAATAAGAGTAGATAAGAATAAATAAACTGTTATCAGAAGTCTAATAAGTATCGATAGTATATCTAAACCCAAGTGCTAACTAACGACTCCAAGATGTTCTAATGAATCACATTAGATATATATGTAAATAAATCTCTCTCTTTGCAAAATTACTTTTCAGTTGTTAATGGTGTTTTTTTTAACTCATCCAAGAAGGAAATCTGTCATGGAAGCGAATATTACAGAAACAAGTGCTACTGTTAAATTGTAAAATTTGCCTTAATTTTCATTTACCATAAGCTAATATACAAAATAGTGACATCGTACATTTAACAATTCAAGACACAGTATTCAGAAAACCTTAAAATAGTTTAAGTTAAAAACAGCTGCATATTAAAAACTTCCAGCCTAAGTACGTTATCCTTTTTTTTTACTTAACTTTTTAAAATATACTTATTGTCTGATTAATTTTGTCGACTTAGAAATTTGCATTTTATATAGCCTTCTACTAACTGTAGAATTGAATTAGATGTCATCTGTTCTTATGTTATTTTTACAAGCTGTGAATACTTAAATATTTTGTGTTTCACATGGAAAGATTGTACTAATATGTTGTTTCACTGTATTATACATTAATATTTTCTTTGTCCAAATGATTGAAGTATGCAAATTTCATCGAAGCTAAGTCAAAATATAATAATTTTCTGCCAGAAGTTGAAATATTTTCTCTTTGTGAGCACTAGATGGCAGTGAACAATTAACGTACTTTTCCTCGATAAAATGGTATCGACAGCCAAGAGTAACACTCTACGCAGAACCATTTAGATTATTCCCTTTATCTAAATGAAGTTTCAAAAATACGAATTTTTACGCAATCCTTGTTAGAAACTATGATGATAAATATGATTATCGTTTTAGATAAACTTTTGTTGTTGTTGTTGTTGTTGATGTTTATTTCTTTGTTTGTGTTTGAGCGTGAAATGGCAAACGTATTGATCTGTATACAAACTACGTCAGAATTTAGTTCCAGGAAAGACTACGTGATAATTTCGTTTTTCTTTCATTTAATGAAAATTCTAAAAGGTTTATTCGATTTCCTTCTGGATCAGTACCTTAATTTCGTGCCGTAAAATCATTTTGTAGCGAGTTCTTTGTATTTCTGAACAGGAAAAAAAAAGTTCAATGACATAAATATTGATAGAAAAGTGACGGTTTGTTGAAAAGAATAATCACCGACTATAGCCAGGACTTCTTTTAGTTGTGTTACACGTTTTCGTTTGACAGAACGCCGCTTTATGCGTTTATCTTATGCTATTCGGTGTTTTACGCAGTAGAACAGTATAGTCAGAGCTCTTAGCCAGATCAGAATGTGATAGTATGTGGCTGACAAACAGAAGAAAGTGAAAACTTTTAATCTTAAAACCATTAATGGCTCAGCTCCTCCTTTATTTTTATAATACAACTTTTAACAAACATCTACTAGACGATTAAAAATAGGCTAACGCCGGTATTTCAGTGAAAAATGTCGCTTTTGACTTCACAGTAAAGAGACAGGGAAAGATATGCTCTTAAAACAGAAAGATCCTTTACAGGTAAAGTAATATTTCTATTTTGGTAAATATTTATCATTTAGGAAAAATACGAATTATATATATATATATATATAGTTTAAAATTAAAGCTTATAACGCTTAGGTAATGATTTTGCAGCTTCATTCGGAGCAGTATGGTAATAACTTACTATCAATAGTATAAAGCAATGTATGTTAGTTCTTTGATCTAAAATGTTATGTGAGCAATGTAAATTTTCCTGAAATGTCAAAATACATGAAGTTTAATAGTTTCTTTGTCAAGCAGTATATGAGTGTTATATTTTTTACCAACTTGTGAACATCTGAAAGAAAGTTGATGTTGTAAGTTGTGTAAGTTCACTTTGAATTGTTACGGTAGCCTTTAATTTTCTTGCTGTGAATCGTATAGAGTTTTGTACAAAAACACCCAACAGAAAACTCTTACCAGCTTTATTTCTACTTTAGTTATAACATATTTCATTTCAGTTACACAACAGGAAAAAATATGTTACACGTAAGCAAATATGATTTTGCATTATTTACACTTATTAAACTATTTATTTATCTATGTAACCTTAAGAAAGATAGCACAGCTTGCATGAATAGACAATCATTTGAAACTGTTCACCCTAATCGAAATAACGGTAACGTGTTTCTCCCATTAGTTCAACAACATTTAAAATAATTGTGTATCAGATTCAACCTCACTAAACACTGAACGTTCAAACATTCTTCATTATTCTTTAATACAGTATTATATATATATTTATATTGTTTATAAAATCTTGAAGTTAATGTGGGTTACAATATGTTTGTTTGTTTTTAAATTCCGACCAAGTAGGCTCAGGACTATATTTCTTTGGAAATGATCTATGCTACAATAATATAGCATGTAAACTTGTAGAGCTCACCAAGATCCTGAATAAAAATAACATGTTAATAAGGTTAAGAAATTAGGTGTGTGTATTCTCGCCTCGTCTTTTAAATAATGATTAAACATTGGCAGATGGTACGCAAGACAGTAGCTGCGAATGTAATTAATCGATAAAATGGTCGAGAAATTCGTAGTAGGCAATTGGTGCACCATACGTTACAGCAAGTGTAACAGTTATGAAAATATTCGGGAGACTGAAAAAAAAATACTGGATATAAGAAACTTAATGACGATGTGAGTAAAGATGACAAAAAAAAGTTGTGATGGGGAAGAAAAACAGCACCTCGGTTCGAAAGAAATGCAAATATTTTGGTAACTTCGAGTAATTTTGAGGAGAGGAGGGAAATAGTTAAAGAGATGCCAAGAACAGACTCTCAGTAATTTAATGATTCGAATACATTCACATGCCTCACTAGCACCTTAGAAATGTTTACTTACCAACAAATGTGGAGGTACTTAACCTAGCTGGTTTAGCACTAATGCCTTTATCGAAAGACTGGATGGATTTGACAGATGGTGTCGGAAGCAAATGTAAAGAGGTGAACGGCCTTAAAGAGTTCCAGATGAAGAAATACGGGGGAAACTAACAAAAGAGAACCTAATCGATTTGGAAATGAATATGAAATGCTTAGAGTATACATAAGAATGTAGTACATGAACATTCCAGGTGTCAATAGAGTCGGGCAAAGGAAACAAATGATAAAACCAAAGTGATTAACAAAAGAAGGCAAAGCATCAAAGGGAAGGTAAGTGCAGAAGAGACAGGAATCAATTAGAAGACGAGTCAAAAGTGTGATGCAGTGTTTAACTGAATGACCTGTTTCATTATACGTGTTGCTGTAATGAGGTCTAATTGACAAAAAACACCAGACTTTATCAGCTTTAACGATTTTGATAGAAGATTCATCGTATTAGTTTCAAATTAAAAATAACTAAAAACTAGGGAAGTTCAATTGCACTGGACATTAGGGTTTAGAGGCACTCTAGTGAGGATTATCTCCGTTTTTAAGCCTTGATCTGCCTGCATTTATAACATTGATAACTTTCATTTCTAACATCAAGATGTTCTTATCAAGTAGGTTTACATTTCTGTAATTTTTACATATAAGTAATACCAAAGATATCGTTTGTTTCACCACAATGAAATCTTAATCATTAAGCTAGGGTAAATAAGAAAGAAAAATGATTCATCGATGTAGAAGAAAAATCATTCCCTGTTACGCCTACTTTTTTATGGGGGTGGGCTTGTGTTTAAAATATATTATTTGTACTAAGAAACAGAGAAAGTCGTCACATTCGTATTGGCACGTATACCTTGTATTTTAACTGCTGGTCTGTTTTCTTTTTTTGATTTTCATTTTAATTAGCATTCAAGAGAAGTCCGTCATCAACTGCTACTGTTGAGATTACTTTCTTCATTCATCTGGAATGGCTTTATGATTCCAAATTCGTCTAACTTGGAAATCCGCAGCTCTTTTTTTCTTACGATCCTTCTAAACTGATCCATATCTTAATGCACAATGTGGAGTTGTGTAATCTTAGCATTTATAAGGAGGTATGAAAGGGTTACTTAGATTCAAGGTTAGTCAAGAGTAACTGGAGAGTGTGCTTACAGGAGATTTGCACGAGGGAAAAAAATGACTCAAAAATTGTTCTAAACAACGTAGCTTATCAATGAATAAAAAAACTATATATCTTCAAAGTTCTTCTGATAATGTATTTTTTGAGTATAATGATATATTTAGTTTACTTCCTTCCATGTGAAATGTTTCCCGGTAGATCAACGTTAAGTTTACGGTATTACAGCACTAAATCCGAGGTTCTAAGTTTACGATATCACAGCACTAAAATCCGTACAGAAAGCAGATAATCTATTGTGTGGATTTGCGCTAAAACAACGGAAATATCTGCAAATATTTAATAGAAAGAGACAAATATCCTTCCTAATATCATCAGCTGTGAAACCCGCATTATTATTATTACGGTCCTTGTTTGGACTACAGTGCACATGGAGAAGTTATCTTCTCCTGTATTATAATACAGTAAATACAGCGACCACGAATACATCAACAACCATAGGTTCAATTGTTTCCTTTGCAGGTTTGCTTAATGTCGAGTCAATCGATAATCTTGAGACATGACTAAGGCTGAGCCTATTCATTCCGGTTCTGAAAACCATTCGCCTAACGAACGCTAGAGATGATGTTTTATTCATTTCTCAAAAGTTTTTATTTGTTTTTGTATCACAAGTATTTTGTTACAAGTGTGACCATTGCTGAAGACACATTTTGGTGGACTCCCAAGTTATAGGGTGTTGTAATGACATCTATTGTGTCAGATAGTCATGTTTTAAAAAATGATTAAAATTTTTAGAGCTAGTGAGCCTTAGTATAGACACGTAAAATATCCATAGTCGTATATTTGTCTGTGTATTTCGATGAGTTGGTCAATCTTCCTGTGTTCTTTCTATAAATATCAACACAGAATTTGAACAAAACAACTCCGTATGATCCTTACAAAGAGTAGAAGAAAGACGCTACCTGGCGGATAAAAGCTTATGACAGGGATAATGTATATCTAAAGATGATGAAGCATCTTTAATTTTTTCTTTTTTTTTCACTTTCTTGTATTTTTTCTTTTCATATTCCAGTCACCTGTCTAAATTGATGCGATGATTCCTTTTTCGATACGACGTATTTATAATTAACACTTTCAAGTATAGGTGGCTACTAGTAACTAAAGTAGTATTTTCACAACTATTGTTTATTTGTTTGTTCTATAATTTTCGCGCTAAACTATACAAAGGGCGATCGGCACATAATCATCTAATTTTGAACTAATAGATTAGAAGGGAAGCGGTTAGTCAACAGCATCCACCGCCACCCCCTGGACCATTCTTATCTCACAAAATAGTGGAATTTTACTGTTACTCTTGTAGTCTTATAGCACACCTGCAGCCCCAAAGTTTTAGGTTGTTATTTGTTTGTTTTTTGCAGTAAAGGGACGTGAAGCATGAGCCGTGAGATTCATAGACCGACTAAGCTATCCACTGGGCCACGCCCAATCCACTTTTATAACTGAGAAATGCATTTATTTTTTGTCTTTATAAAAAGTCAGATAAATGCTTTTCTGTTTCTTAATATTGTAATATTACTTTAGTTTTTACTGGTGTAAAATTCTTGACATTTCTACAACAGAGAAACAAGATTGTTTTTTGTTGTTTTTTTTACTTTTCGATAATAAATACCAAACAAATTTAACCTATTTTTCATGCATTTCAGACTTTTCCATAGTTATCCTAACTAATTAAATTATATTTGCATTTATAGAATAATCTAAATTTGTCTGATTCTGGTTGGTGCCTGTGAATTTTGCCCTTTTTTACGCTTTTTGAAAGACGTACAGACAACAACACACGAAGATGTGGAATACACCACATAAAGACAAATACTACATTCTTATTTCTTCGGCGTCAGCAATGCTATAAAGGCATTAAGAACTTAAGAACAACTCGCTTTTTATCTAAACATAGTACAGCTCGTAAAAGATGAGTCTTTAATTGATTACAACCTCAAATGTAATTTACGCTTTTATACGTAGTATGCATGCGCTCCACATTCTAAAATTCACTATCAACATGTCTGATAATGGACGTCAGTTTTGTACTTCCAACTCATCAGGCATATACATCACTCATTTTCAATATACCAACATTGATCATTTAAACAAATGTTAGTGTGTTTTTATGATAGTATTTTGTTTCCCTACAGTTGTGGCTAGTACAATGTGTAGCTTTGTGCTTAATTACAAACAAACAAACCCTACAGTTAGTTACTGCTCACATTATGAAAAGCTTTTTATATGATAAACAGCAAAGTCTATAGCGGGAGTGTAAGAATGTTACGAGAAATTAGTTTATAACCTTACAATAAAGTGTACAGTAGAAGTGTAGAAATGTTAGCAAAATTAGTTTAAATGCTTACAACAAAGTCTACAGTAGAAGTGTAGAAATTTTAGCAAAATTAGTTTAAATGCTTGCAACAAAGTCTACAGTAGGAGTGTAGAAATGTTACGCGAAATTAATTTAA